ATTTAATTAATTGGCATGAGAACGAGGAGATACAGCTAATAGGTTTTCTTGGCAAAATAGCAAAGGAGGTCTGTTTCTGTGCTATTTTTATAAAACCGCGTTGAAAAGGTTTAGCTAAGAAGGTTATATTAAACTTCTTCGTTTTAACTGTATAATTTTTAACAACAATATTTTTAAGTGTGAAATCCAGGAACAAATATGATTTAATGACGTTACATAATATGAACTGAACCTGAACAAGTCGAGTTTATTTTAATCAAAAACCTAACCTGAACTTTTTTAGGTTAATGATAGAATTGTTAAAACCTATATCCTTATTTACCCTATTATTAAGTATGTAAAAAATCCTGTGTTTTTTTACAATCGTACTACAATATGATGAAATCATAACGAAAATGAACTCCACACTCTCCAGAATCTAAAGATAAAGAAAGAAGAATAATAAAGAAAATATACGAAGAAAATTATGCCTAGTTATTTGCGAAAAATATTTTTTTTAAGTGTTACGCATAAATATATAACGCTAACCCAGTAATTTCAAGCAGACAGAATGGCGTAACACCGTATAATACAAAAATGTGTCTCGTGGCTAATCTTCTTATATGACGTCATAACTTAGGCCATTACATTATTTCAGTCACCCTTAACCTTTGCAAGCTTGTAAGCGCAGACAAACCCACGCAAAACGTCCCGACTTTTGGCTGCCATCCAGGGTTCTCTTCATTCATGTTTTCCATTTTTATAACATCCCTGTAGTATTGTGAAACGTTTAGTATTGATTTTTAGGCAACTAACGCCCACCTGAAATTATGTATGTAAACATTATTCGTACCTTAGTTGTTTTAGATTTCCATAATGCAAGATTCTTAGGTGCTCGGTTTGTCGGTCTTCATAACTGACAAATGGGACAAATGATACGATTTTGGCCTTTTTAAGATTACGACCCGATTTTGGCCATTTTGAGATTATGACCTAATTTTGGCTGGCAACGGTAGAAGCTTTGCAATAATTGAATAAGTTAAAGATTGTGTTATATCTTGTTAAAAATATAGCGGCGGACACGGTGTTGTCACATCATATAAAACCTACTAAAAAGGTAATAAAAGTTTAATTTAATTTAATCTCTAAATTTATGAATGTTACTGAAGAAAATTATTGAAATCATTGATGCGTAAAGTTGCCGTACATATCAACATAACATTTAACCCGTTAATATACAATTTACTATGATGAAAAAGGTATTATTTTAAGTTAATTATTATTTATTTTTTTATCTTAAACATCATATTTAACCTTTTTTTTATATATGCCCCAGTTCCACACCATGCACTTTACTTGATAGTGCATTTCTCACCATTTTTTTACGTGCCGTCTACAATCTGGTACACCTTAGGCACATTACGACTTGCCTCAGGCTTTTTTCACAAAAATAAACTTAATAACAATTTGCAAATCAGAATAAGCTACCTGTTTATACGGAGGGAGTACAATATTTTAAGCAATGGTTGTCAATTATTGACACACATCATACACAATATTTTCAAATTATTGCTTAATTGGTTTGCTACTGATACCCTACTTACCTTATATTTGAACGTATGATACTTGAAAAAGCCAGACTTTTAATAAGTGACCTTTGACATTTTTGGAAAAATATTTTTTCATGTTATCCTCTTCTGGCAATGATCCAAGTGATTTGACGTAACTTGGAAATGCTTATTCATAATTTCGTTTACGTCTAGTGCGTCATGATAAAGTTTCCTAATTCATATGATGTGCGAATACGATGATATGACCTTTTTAGAAGGGTGGGATTTTAGCCTCTTTTTATCTGATAAAGAGCGACATTTATTTCATTCGTCTTGCTCAAAATGTCCGTTGTTAATGAAACTAAAGTAATTTTAAAAATTAAAAGATACGACTGCTAAAATTGTACTAAAAATAAAAGTTAATAATAATAATAGAAAATTATTTCTTCCAGTTACAATTTTGTCTTTTAGTTAGGTAGGTAAGTATAAATAAGGAAACATAAGCTGTTTACTCGTATTAATGCAGTATATTGTGACAGGTATTTTTTTTTATTTGAACTGTGAAAAACAATGTTATATGTGGGTAGGTAATATTAAATCTTATTTAAGTATGAGAAAAAAGTATGACAACAGCTAACACAGTTGTATAGATTTTGTCTAAGATTTACTTAAGTAAGTTATGTATATATGTACTCACACTTATTCTTATTATATTTGTACTACTATAGTTGTGTGATACAATTTTATTGTAAAAACTGTTTTATGTAAAATCTTGTTTCATTGAATGACGTTATTCGAGTAGTAGATATGTATAACAAAGGTTAGTTCCTACTCACATTAGAAATGAAACACCTATTTATAGTTGAGAATACAGAAACACATAAATTATAACACTAATTACACAATTTTAATATTGGCCATTCGAATTATATTTTTCTTAGACACCGGCAGGGCTCGGAAACGTTATTCAAAATAACGTTTCTTATGGTTCTTTGGGCAAGATTGCGTTCGAAACGAAAACGAAATGAGAACGCTTTAAAAAACCGGTTTAATCCGCAAGACGGTGCCGCGCGGGCTGTAAGGGCGGCGTACATTTATTTTATTACGTTATTTACAGGATGCGATGCAAAAAAACGCAAAATATATGGTTAAAAACGTTTTATTAACCGAAAACAATATAATTCTGTTTTTTTCCAAAATCATTTTTTATATCGTTCTGTTCGAACGAAACCGAAACAAAGTGTTTTTTAGGTATTTAAGATGAAAACGTTTCGAAAAATATACCGGTTTCCGACCCCTGGACACCGGCATATAAAATGTCTGCTACTCGCGTTCATTCTGCACATAGAAGTCGTGAACGCTTGGGAACTACCTGTCCGCCAAATAAAATTAAGGCGCGAGATTTATGGTGCTGTATAATTGTTTTTTATGCCGTTAAAATCACTAGAACGTTTAAGGTTTCCCAGTTATTATACTACGAAACAAAATCAGATCGAACCAAAGCAAATGAAAAAAGTCGCTTTTAGAATAATAGTAAGTCAGGAATAACCTATTTGATTTTGACATTACAATTTTATGTCATAAAATTAATATTAACACTTTAGTTATAAATCAGGATATAGATAATGGTGATAACGTGTATGTTATAGCATCATGTATCTTACTAAGAACTTGTAATTTGTAAACTTGGAAACAAACACATTGTTGTACATTTTTCACATAACCGACTGTATCATGTAACAATCTAATAAAAACTTTAGTTTTCATATCTTGAAAAATAAAAATATAAATTATATATGTCATGAGATCTCACATAACGTGGTTAACTGCCCACTGAACTATTTACTGGTTTATTTCTCATTTGTATTTATTTTATTTCAAATCGAGGGTACACAAATGCAAATCCTTTACCTCCCTTTCTAATATTCACTATTTGACGGCAAGGTTATGATTCTCGATCCGTGTGATTAAACAATACAAAACTGGATGATTTGAATCGTACGAGAAAAAATGGTACATGCAAAAGAACCAGACAACACAGGTCATGCAATTGAGACTAGTATTGGAGTACTAACATAAATAAATTACGAGCAAATTAAAATTTTCGATTGAGCAATCAGAGTAAGCAAAACAGAGGAAAATAAAAATAATATATATACTTATTTTAGATTATAGTTACATATACCATGATTATATAAATATTTTATAACTTTGATCGAAATCCAATATACAAAGTTGCGATGTATAAATATTTACATATATATAAACATATAAACAAGTAATAACATAAATAAATAGACATAGTAATAAATATATATTCATACTAGTTCATATATTTATACTCAGTAATTTTTCAATCATTTCGTCACTTTCCTATCTAGGAAAGTGTGAGATTTATAAAATGAAACAGGATCCTTATCTTGTTTTATTTTATAAATTTATATGTTTATTGATTCTGTTATATTAAAAAGGAGTTAAAAATAAGAGAATTTGTGCGCAAAGCCAGTTTTGCAAGCTTGTCTTATGACTTGGCTAAACCAAATTCTCATTGCATTCACGGGACCGAAGGAAAATTTGTAATCTAAGAGGACTCCGACAAATCCTATTGTTTCTTTTATTTTTAGTTAGATTTTGGCAGGCGCGATTATTCACAATTTAAAAAATATATATAGATTACGTGTTTGAATTCATTCAAAATTCGAAAGGAGGATTTCTTACGATCAAACGGGTATATATTCTTTTATCTAAGTAAGTATGTTCACCGATTTATTCGTGAATTGTGAAATGACATCTATCAAACTAGCTGTTTTCCCTCGATTTTGCCCATGTAAATAATGGCCAATGACTCCCGCGTATGAAGTAATTTCCAGTAGGTAAAAATTGTTTATAAACGGGCCAAGTACTTCTGGATGCAAACAAACAAATGATGAAATCTATCCTCTTTATGATATTAGTATATTGAAAAAAATTACGTCGAGCAAATGAACAAAATCGTCTTTCTTAGGACATTCACTATGTTGACATATTTTTTATACGGCTTTAAATATTTTGAGGGTATTTTTAAATTATGAAATATTTCTAATTTAAACCATAGAACCGACTTCTAAGTGGCAAATAATACTTATCTTAAAAGAGACTTCATTATTCAAGAAATTGCAATTTAATTGGGCGGTTATCATTTAATCGCAATAACCTACAGAACACTGATCTGATCATAAGTCTTTCAAGTCACTAAGTAATAAGTTCAAGCACCAAGTAGCAACTACATTTTTAAATTTCTTAAAAGCGAAGGAAAAATTAAAAATGTTATATGAAAAATATTTTTTTATTTTTGTGTAAAAAATAAATAACAATTCACATAATATCAAAAACAAAATCTATCAAAAGAGTTTTTTTTACTTCATAATTTCTCTCAATAATGTCCATGTTCCATTATTTAAAACTACACTTTAACATGGTCTAATATTAACATAACGTCATTTTAAAGTCAAATTAAAATTTATACAATTCCATTGTATATAAGCCATATCAATTTTAAAAACATCATTATTATTACATTATATGTAAATCGTCTTAAAAATCTCATTAGGGAAACACTGGTGGAAAACATTGACTTAAAACTGTAATGGGAAATTGAGCAGTTCATCTAAGGGTACCATTTTGAACGCCTGCTTGACATTTTTCAGAATTCTATTTACTCCAAAATTTACAACAGGATCACCGAATTCGTCTGCAACCATTCGCCAATTTTCATTCATGAACGCCATAACCAACTTGCCTGTAACAAACATATAGAGAAATTTAAAAAGAAAAATGCTTAAAAAAGTCATTTTGCCGGGGGTACTGTGAGGTGGGACTCGAACACACGACATATCGCAAACGGGGCGACTGTTCAAACCACTTAGCTACCTAGGTCCTTACAGGACTGACGAATCGTTCAACTTTTTTCTTTTTTTTTCGCTTTTTTGGATAGAGCAGTCATCCGGATTGCGAAAGATAGTGGGTTCGTGGTCATGCATTTTTCTTAACACTATTTTACAATGTAGCATTGTAAATACATAATTAAAAATGATGCATTAACAAGCTACTTGGTGTTTTTGAGTTTTTAAATACGCTAAAGACAAAAGCATAATACTGACTTGTTTCAGGGCTCCTCTTGAAGATGTTTGTAAAATTATATGTGATTCGTCCATCAAATTTGTGATTGGTCTTCACGTCTGTTATAAGTAAATGCTTCTTGCCGTCTTCGCCCATTTCAGTTTTGAGTGTCAGTTTAGTGAAAAATCTTACGTTTTCTGAAAGAAAAGTTAAATATATTAAACAGATTCACACAACAGTTTTATGTAAACTAAGCTAAAGAAAATAATCTTTGAAGGAAACACAATCGCCTTGGCGCGCCTTCCGCAGAATGTGAGTGGCAGTCCCGATTTCACAGTTATAGACATTAATCACTTCACATCACACATCCCTCGTATGATAATAATATAAATGGTTATTAATTTTAGACATAAATGATGTTAACTTACTGCATTTCATAGAAGCATCACCATCGCCGTCGATCGGAAACATTAGAAGTTTACCACTGGACTTATATTTTCCTCGAATAGAAATATTGCAAGCAAATTGTGTCTCTAAAATGTTTTCCACGAGCCTGGAAGAAATAAAAATTTTTTCTTAACGATGTTTTGATTTTTTATAAATTTATTGTATGAAGAAAAAAATCAATTATAAAAAATAAAAAATCCGACTACATAAAAAAAGGGGGTAGGGGAATATAATTACTTTCACTAAGCACTAAAAAGAAAAAACCAAGCCCAGTAGTTTGGAATGTTATTAAGTACTACTGAATAATATAAATTCAAAAGCAGAATAGAAGGATCAACAATCAGGACCCATTTCTTTTTGACCAATCAATGGAGCCCCGAATAATTTGAATATACATAGAGTTTAAAACTATTTCAATGGAACAGTTATTCAGTAGTACTCAATTACATTCCAAACTACTGGGCTTGTTTTTTTTTTATTTTTAGTGAAAGTAATTTTTATTTCACTTCTTGCTTTTGTTTTCACGCAGTCGGGTTTTTTGTTTTTTATAATTAAATTTTTATTTTTACACCTTTTTAGTAATTTCTCATTAACTTCGTTATTAGAACTATAAGACGGTAAATTTCGCAACCTTGTTATTTCATTGAGGGAGTTTATATCGTGAAGATTATTAAGCAACTTGAGTCGGTTGGACAAACTACTGATTATAAGTACCTCTAGAGACCTCACTCGGCTCAAAGCTACATATGCTTGACCTTTAGCAAAAATTCGCGACCAGCTCGGTTTAAAGTAATTATGGCACTTAAAATTTTCAAACATCTCACTATATCTAAAAACGGTCTCCGCACACTTCTCATATTTTTGAAAGACCTATCCAACAATATGCCGCACTAAAGGGAAATCGAAAAAATAAAAAAATCATCCTACCCTAAAAAAAGAATCTTGATTACTGTTGTGTTAGTGACACTCGCAATATATAAATCATTTCAATTGGCCAAGCCATTGGTTTAGACTCTGCAATGTTATTTAGGAACAAACATACATACATATACTCGTAAACACATCACCCTCCTTTGCGTTGCGCAGTCGGGTAAAAACTCGTGCATAGTTATGATTAAAGTTTCCAGTTAAATGTATAATTTAACAAAATTTATTAAATAGACAAAAAAACTTAATCAATCAGATATATAAATTGCCAGTTTTGTATAATAGGAGTATTGGAAACAAAATTGTGGTCTGAACTACTGATTATAAGTCTCTCTAGAGACCTCACTCGGCTCAAAGTCACATATACTTGACCTTTAGTAAAAATTTGCGATTTAGACTCTGCAATGTTATTTAGGAACAAACATACATACATATACTCGTAAACACATCACCCTCCTTTGCGTTGCGCAGTCGGGTAAAAACTCGTGCATAGTTATGATTAAAGTTTCCAGTTAAATGTATAATTTAACAAAATTTATTAAATAGACAAAAAAACTTAATCAATCAGATATATAAATTGCCAGTTTTGTATAATAGGAGTATTGGAAACAAAATGGTGATCTAAACTACTGATTATAAGTCCCTCTAGAGACCTCACTCGGCTCAAAGTCACATATACTTGACCTTTAGTAAAAATTCGCGAACTTAAGTCAACCACACCTTGGTCCAAAGTAGTTTTGGCACATAAAATTTGCAAACGGCTCACTATATCTAAAAACGGTCACACACTTCTAATATTTTTGAAAGACCTATCCAACAATATCCCGCAATATAGGGAAATCGAAAAAAAATAAAAATCATCCTACCCTAAAAAAAAAGAATTTTGATTACTGTTGTGTTTAGTGACACTCGCAAGGTTAAGCCAAATTGATTGATTGAAATATAAATCATCTCAATTAGCCAAGCCGTTTAGTCCCTACAATACTATTTAGGAACAAACATACATACATAGACTTATAAACACGTTACCCTCTTTTGCGTTGCGCAATCGGGTAAAAACTCGTGCATGGTTATGATTAAAGTTTCCAGTTAAATATATAATTTAACAAAATTTATTAAACAACTAACAAATATTAATCAATCAGATATATAAATTTCCAGTTTTGTATAATAGGAGTATCGGAAACAAAATGATACTTACGTTGCATTTTCGATCACACAATTCCGCAGACCTTTTCCGTAACCTTGTCGAAATTGTATATCCAGGCCTCCAGGTAAGTTTAGGTTCAACCGTTCTACGATCAGAGGATCAAGTCTTTCCACTCCCATCTCAGGTATCCCTTTGGTAAATATAGGTAAAACTTTCCGAATTGAGTCTTGAAGACATCCATTTATATCGCTGATACATGATGGAGGAAATTTTGACGGTGCTATAAAAATAAAAAATCTAGTAAATAAAATAACAATAATAATGTTTTTGATTTTTTTTTAAATTTTTACCTGTCTTAATTGTAACAATTAAGGTCACGAACTATACATATAGTTCAATAATAAGATTTTCTTTCAAATACCAGAAAAAAATATAAACCTATGCATATCAAAATATACATTTTTGAACAGATTTTTTATTTAAATATACTTACGGATTATCGTAGCACACCAAAATCCTTCAATAAGAGAAAATATAACTAACAGTAGACACATTACAGTAGACATAATTTAAAATTAAAGTTTTCTTATTGCTAATCAATGAGTAACCACCAAGTGCTGTCACACTTCTAATAAAAACTAATTTCACTACGAACTTATATACAAAAATGGACGGTTACATGGAACGGTTAAATATGTTTCATTATAACGACTACATAATTAATGAATTACCCTCGGTTTCAATTATCATCCGACAATCGTCGGTAGCAGCTACCGACAGTTTCTTGAGCTACCGACGACCATCGGTAGGAGATTTATATTTTAAAATGTATAAACTAACTAATTATAAACTTTAATTTTTCAAAAATATAATCGTAACTAGAACCTTTTGGATAATGTTTGCAACGCCTGAAATAACATAATTTGTTTTTATGAGTTTTGATCTTGAATTAAACTTCGGAGTAAAAATAAACATGAATAATACAAAGTACTTTGAAATGGTACGGTGCATGGGTATGAACAGTGTTTTGACAATTTAGTAGGCTACAAGAATGAGAAAGCGTCACTCTTTCAAACCTCACCATTTTCTAATATCTTTTGTATATCATATGGTACAATACATAATGAATTTGAAAATTAAAATTAACGAAATTGACAGTGAACAATTGTGATCCATTGACATAGGATGATAAATGGATCTTTATTAAAAAAGGTATAATAATAATTTCTAATCGTAAAACAAACGTAGAAAAATGCATCGGAAAAATATAAAAATTGTTTAGATTTTTATGTATTGTTTTTATTTGTTAAACATAAATTTATATTCATATTGGGTTTTATTAAGTATTTAATTAATATCACAGTGTTTAATAAAAAGAAAGGGTATAAACTAGTGTAACGTGTATAAGTTTGGTATAAGTAGGTATCAAATTAAGTTTCATCAGAACCAGGTTTTTCATTACTACTAGGGGTAAATTATCAAGCTTTTCAACTTAAACATCTTCAATTCAAACATCTGGAGCAATAATTAATTAGTGGTATGAGCCCTCAAAGACACAAACATTGACATGATTGCAACTTAAATTCTACTAATTGGAACCACAAAACACATTAAGCTATGCTAAAGTATTATTTTTTAAACCAAAACTGTTATATTTCTATTAATTAACAAGGGAAAACGTGTTATTTACAAACACGATAACCGACAGAAAATGGCCGGTAGGCAAATTGGACATGTAAGCTACGGATAGTAAGTTTGAAAGCTCTACCGACGGATAGATTTTTTATTGAAACAACTTTTTGCGCTATTTTCATACATTTTGCCAACGAAAGTATCAGATTAATCTATTATTACACGGTTGGTAGCTTGAACTACTAATGGTATGTTATTGATACGATTTTTAGGTACCATCGGTAGGAAATGTTACGAATGGTACCAAGAACAGATAGTTTTGATATTGAAGTTATTGAAATCAGGGGTAAAGTCATCATGTCATTAAACCTCCGTGGTTTGTTGTAGAAATATTTATTTTCTATATATTTTTTTACAAAAAATAGTACCGATTTCAAACTTCGAAAAAGTGAGAAATAATACTTAAAAACGACTTAATTATTCAAGAAACTGCTATTGAAGTTGGGCGGAAGTTTTTGGTGATTGAATAATGAACTTTTAAGATAAGTATTATTTCTCCCTCATTTAAATTTTGAAGTCGGTTTTAGTTTTTGAAATAAAAATTTTAAGGGATTCATATCCATAGGGTGAAAACGGGATCCTGTCACTAAGACTCCGCTGTCCGACTGTCCGTCCGTCTGTCACTTATTATCTGTAGTATCTCATTAACAGTTGAAATTTTTACAGATGATGTATTACTATTGCTGTTGCAACAACAAATATTAAAAAACTCAACTTGTGTTTTTTATAGATAATTGTACGGAACCTTTCGTGCGCGAGTCCGACTGCCCCTTGGATAGTTTTTTATTTTAACTTTGTGAGCTACGAACCTACAAAGAGTCTTTATGTAAATAAGAAAATTATTCATGAGCAGAGTCTGTACTTATTACTGTTTCATAAAAAAGGTTCTGTTTTTGAAAATGATAAATTTCATATGATTTCATATGATAAATTTCAATCGGAACATTAATAATCGGCTACTGTGTGCTACATTGCGTTGTGGTTGTACGTGTTTAAGAAGAAAACAAGCATTGGTGCGAAATTTTTCTCTAAATTAGAAATTAGTTTCATGTGAATGGAGTCTGTGATTTTCTGATAGAAGAGAAAGTAAAAAGAGATAGTCAAAGGTTATGAAGTGGAAAGCAGAAAAACGAGTATAAAGTTTTTGGCCACCCATCCAATGATCTATCCCTGCGAAAGTTGCTTATCTTCCGTAAGCAGATCGAAATCGCTAATCGCTGTGCTGTCGAACCGGGAGCATGTTCGGTGTAAATAAAGGACGACCAGAGCAGTTTTACTCAGTATTAAAATATACTCAGTCGAATTAAAAAAAGACCCTTAAACTCTTTTCGATTCACCATTTTTTAATGTCACGAAATTGGTCACGAGTATATGTATTCTTTGCAGATTCAATTTGGTTTTAATTGTTTTTTTTTTCCTTCTGAAAGATGAAATGCATTTCGAGACCCAGTTAACAAACGAAACAGCCACTGAACTCGATGAATTCAATTTATTTGCATCTGCTAAAGGAAATTGTATTGTAACACTTCACTGTGTAGTTTTCGTAATGCTGACTTTGCATTCTCGTTCCATTAATTTACCCACTGAAACTATTGACGAGGAAAGTCGTGGACGAAATTAATTCTATGATATTTCTTCATTACTAACTTAAATTTCATTTTCTAGATCCATACTTATATTATAAAGATATAAAGTGACTTACTTTATTTGTTTGTTTGTAGAGGGTAAACTTCGGAAATATTGATCCAATCACGAAAATTCTTTTACTTACGCGAAGCTACATCATAAGCGGGTGAAGTCGCAGGAAAACAGATACTGTTTTCATTATAATATGAGTTCGTTTCATATGATATCTATTTTTCGAAGTAATTAATTTGTAATAGATAATAATTTTTTATTGTGTATTAATAAGAATTTTAGTAATACATATTATGTGTTTATTTCCTATTGTATTTTAAAGGTATGTTCTTCGTACAAGTAATACATATTACTAAGAGACAAATTATCGTTATATTTTTGCGATAAAATTTATGATTTTTCTCTTTTCGTAATTTTATTGTTTTGTATTAGAACGGTGATCAGAATTTATTTTAGGTCTTTTCCTTAATACTCCGTTACGTATACTCCAATCCTTTTTTATCGTTCAGTATCGAAATAATGCTGAAAAATCTTCCACTGCTCAATATGAGCAGAATTCTTATCTAACACAGGTAATTAGGACTCAGATATTTTAAAAAATGTGTACGTACCTATACTAGATAGGATAGTTTGTATATGCAACAATGCAAATTGAAATGGACGTCTAGCGATACAATCTAGTCCAAATAAAGTACCATTTTCAATACCTTAGCTAACCTAATGAACATGAGAACTAAAAGACGCCTTTTTTTCTAAATTTAATTAATATGCACATAGCAAATGGAAACAACAGAGCGATTCTGTAAAAAATTAAACACGAATTCGAATTCACTCATGTTTCCGAATTCACGTCATTTAGTGAAGAAATTCTATTGATTACTTTTTTTGTATAAAAATACAAAACAAAATTGATTGATTATATTGTCTCAGATACCACGAAACGATATTATCAATTGAAGACTGAGCGGATGCCGCTTTTTGCAGTGAATTTTGACACCTGAATGAATTCGAATTCGGCTTTGGATTTAACAGAATTGCAAGTCTGGATAGGATTGCGTTCGATGCAAGCATATCAACCGATAAAAATTTAAATAATCTTATCTCTCCTCTCGTTCCTTATTTGTTCAACCGAATTTCCATCTCAACCTGTCATCGTTAAAAGATAAAGTTCATTTTTAGGTGAGTTTTCGGATACGGTATGCTCTTGCAATAATTTTAAGGTCGATAGCATTTTGTTTTCTGTCTGCTTCTGATGACTTGATGTCCAAAAAAACCAGCAATCATACTTTGTTGAGATCAATTGCAGTGAATTTGATGTTTATATTGGTTAGGTTAGGTGTACCCGCGAGAGTGGACCCAATGGCTTTAAAAAGAGAAGATAACCCTTGGAGATAAAGAAAATATCTGGTCCCGGGCCTTATTCTCATTGTGAGAGTAGATATATAGAAGTTTTATAAGGTCTTTCCTGTGCATATCGAGAATATAACTGGGTCTCTCCACCGTGGGTCCACACATTATCACCTCGTCGCCTATCCAGTGATGGAGAATCATAATTATCAGTCCTCTTATGTCCCTACAGCAGGGGCTCAGGCCGATTCCGACGAGGAATATCTTAAAAGGTACAGTTTAATATATACGAATATGAATATTAACTTTTACAGAAGCAGTTATACTGCAATCATAAAAGTCCTCGAAAAAAAATTGTACGTAAATAAATAATTTAAGTTGAATAGAGAAATGTAAAAGGAAACAGAAGATTTTAATTTGATTTCTAAAACTATGTGCGCACTGATGGTTTTTGTCATCGCGACTTATTGTTTCTGTTACCGCGCACTCTTCCGTTCTATAGAAATCACCTATTTGTCACGCGTGCGCCTTCGTATAGTTTATTAATCACGGTGATAAAAGACAAAAGCAATTAATGCACGCATAACATAAAAAAATATGTCTCTATGACATAATAAAATTGTGATAAAAATGTTGTTTTGGTCGTTCCATAATAATATTACAAAATATGCATATCATCTGAATAGGTAACATATTCAAGATCTCCTTTCTAAAGCTCCGCGATTTTGTCACAGACATTTCGATCGACGCTGCAGTATCGCAAAGGTTTATTTCAGTTCACGTAAACAGCCACAAGTTATTTTTCCGCTGATGCGCCATGAAAAATATAATACCGTGTCGCGTATAAACTAAATACTTACATAGTTTGCGTGTCTTTTATAACCTTCTTGTAGTTACAACTATAGTAAAAGTAAGTTCGGTTAAATCTTCGAATATAAAATTGGAAAACATGGATATAAACATGTTGTTTTGGAGAACAGAATTATTATAAAATTTGGAAGGTAATTGAATTTTTTATTATTAAAACTAAAATGAGTAGACGTACGTAAGTACATAATATGTGTTTTGATATGAAGGTGCAATAAATATCTAATATTGTCGTAAGTTTAAATCTCGAGGAGTTGAATGATACAGTAAGCACGTCTGGTAAGCTATGTAAAGGCCGGTCATAGATGGGTGACCAAACATTTATTTTTTCAAGTTCTTTCATATGAAGGCATGTTAAGCCGCTAGTCACAGTAGGCAACTGTAGTACAGCACTTGTA